TGACTGAGTTTGGTTTTACGCCGCTTTTAGCAATATTCCAGCAACATCACGGCAGGGGACACCAGAAATGGGCTTCACACATTGTACCCATGTGGGGATTCGAACCCGGATGAACTTCGTGCATTAGGCTACCCCACCGCCCCTTAATGCAGAAGAGAGACACACACACCAAAAGAGGTGGTACTATAGCCTAGCGGTGAAAGCGTTGCTTGTAACCTCGAAGTACCGGGTTTGTATCCAATTTGGGCAGTTTGGGATGCCACACTTCCCCACCCTCCTACAACCCGCCTCCTGATACAGCGGAATAATACTAAAACCTGCCAAACTCAGTCTCACTCACTCACTCACCCACTCAAACCTCCTGATACGAAAATTTAAGGTCGCACAGCAAAAGTACACCTAGCCCTTTTCATCCTCATAATCATTTTTCATCTATGGAATCCAAGAAGGGACATAGTCGCATTGTAGCCCTTACAAAAACAAGCACAAGGTGTCGAAATAAACCGAAGTGCGACAATGGACATTTGTCGCATTGTCGCTATGTCACATTGTCGCGCTTTGAATAACAATATTTATTCTACCAAAGGGTGACAATGCGACATAGCGACAGTTTTTAAGGTCAAAATATGTCGCATTGTCGCACTTTGGTTAATTTTGACACCTTTTCCTTGTTTTCGCAACAGCAACAACGCGACAGTGTCCCCTCGTGGTTCCATAAACATCCAGACTGAGCGCTTTCTGAGGCTTTTGGAGGGGACATTTTTTGCTTGGCACAAGGTGACACTGTTCTACGTACTGATACGGGAGGGTGGTAGCTTTAATCATTTGAATTACATTTGTCAAATTCCGGCTACATTGTGGTCAGAGGTCTTCGGTCAAGCTGCCGAGGTAAGTGAGGGGCTCACATTGTCAACCATCAAGGTATATCGCCAACGTGCTGTTTACCTCTAGTGATGTCAAATCTCGCACGCTGGACTGCTATTTACTCGGGAGCGGGTTCTCAAAGGTGTATATCGAGGATAAATACACGGTACTGGCGTGGCACCTTCCTGTCCAAATGTCCCCACCTCCCGTCTAATGTCTAGACTGTAGTCAGTCTACTTGCAGTGTGAGTCCTTCACTCCTCTCACCTCCCGTGTGTAGACTGTAGCCAGTCCTTACCTGCAGTATGATTCAGTACCTCTCTCCTATTGTGTACTGTATGTAGACTGTAGCCAGTCTACTTGCAGTGTGATCATCTTTTAGTCATCTCATCTACTCTACTGTATATAAGTGAGGTCAAATGGGGTTAAACGCCGTACTTAAGAATATTTCGCTCATATGACGACGTGCATGCGTGTGTATGAGTGGCTGATTGTACTAGCCCAGACTGAAGCTGGTTTTATAGTGCAAGCTCACTGAGATACCATGCCCCAGTTAAGCATGAATACCCCACTCAGACACATTATACTGACTCTTGGCCGACCAGTCCTTGTTGTACCCATTAATGCCGAGAGCCAGGCAGGGACCAACAAGTACCATATTGAAACGTCTTTTGTTATGACGCGGCTTGGGATCGATATTTTAACGTCTTTTGGTATGATCGCTCTCCGGGCAGACGCTCTTACCACTACACTACGGAGGCGGTTTTACTGTATATAGACTGTAGCCAGGCTCTAGCTGCCGTACTTCCGTCCTATGAACGTGACTTGAGTTGGGCTTTACGTCACATCGGAATTATTTCATCGATATAGTGACGAGATCAATTCTGATTTCATACACATTTTAAGTACAAAGTACAAATGAGTTTTATCTTAAAAACGTATATATTCATTATATTATTATTTAAAAAACAGAAATTCAAAACACCAAATTCAAAAGCAAGCAATCCATTATTCACATTACGTAGCTACAATTTATGGTACAGGTAAGCTTCCCTCAGGTAGCTAACAATGAGATGGGTCTTTCAGATTTGTCGCTTCATAATGCAAGTCCCTTGCAGTCGAAAAGTCCACACAGTCAAGCAGTATATGCTTGATGGTGAACACCTCATCGCAAGAGACACACATAGGGGGTCCATCCACATCTGTTTTCAGCAGATAGTCATCCTATGAACGATACGTACTGCAGCAGATGTATCACATCTTTTAAGTCGACTAAAGCCAGTGTCTCCCAAAAAACATTGCAAAGACGCTCAGTTGCACTTAAGACATTATTATATTACCCCGGTTAACTCAAGATGTCTGGGAGGCGCTAGAAGGTTAGTAGTCACAATGAGGCCATCTTATCCCACCGGGTACCCATTTTCTGCTGAGTGAACAGAGACAATTTTAACAAACTCACTTGCTTAAGGCGAGACTACATGTACCACGTGTTCTGCGTTGTGGGGCAGGACTGAAGTCATAGAAACTCTCAGGAGTCAAGCTGCCAGTCACGATCACCCATCCAAGGACTTTCCGTAACCAACGTTGCTTAACTACAACCAGGGGCGTAGCTACCGTAATAGATAAAAAAAAGGCCGGGCTTACACATGATTGTTGCTAAAAAGGTTGGGTTAGCCCTCAATACTATCTAAATATAAAGCTGTGCAACCTATCGGGCTCCAACGTTGCTTAACTACAACCAGGGGCGTAGCTACCGTAATAGATTTTAAAAAGCCCGGTCTTACACATGATTTTTGCTAAAAATGTTGTGATAGCCCTCAACACTATCTAAATATAAAGCTTTGCAACCTATCGGGCTAACCGTGACGAAAATATTGACTTGCTACGCGCCTGACAACTGATTTGTGACCTGAGCTCTTTGCACAAGACCCCACACCACAAAAACACATACATTCACCTCTCAGTCCTTTATCTGATACATATTTATCAGCATCTCTCTTTCAAGTGTAAGAAAAAATCCTTCAGTCTTCAGTCTCAAGGCTGTATAACACATTAAAAATATATCAAAAATATCAAAAAGCTGAAAACTATACACCGTTATGCCAAAAGAACTTTCCTTTCGATTTGAATTCGGGCAGTGGGGTAGCCTAGTGGTTAAAACGTTCGCTCGTCACGCTGAAGATCCGGGTTCGATTCCCCATATGGGTACAATGTGTGAAGAAATTTTCTAATGTCCTTCGCAGTGATGCTGCTGAAATATTGCTAAAGGCGGCCTAAAACTATATTCACTCACTCGATTTGAATAATTTCAAAAGTGTAATCCTAACAAACACTTGTACGTGTTCATTCACAAGCTGAGTACAAGAGCAGTAGTTATATCAATAAAGGCAACGATGGTGATATTCACATCTCAGTAACAGTAATCCAGCTTGCCACTCGGCCTTGATCGTCGACAGGTTTTAATCTTCCAAATGTTTTCACTTTTTATTGTCTAAATTGTTTTCGTCACGATATGGCTGAGATATTGCCGATGTGACGTTAAATATTAACTCACTCACTCACTCGGCCTTGCAGGGTATATTGATTGTCACACACAATGGCGGCCTTGTATAACTTGAGGTGTAATGTGAGATGAGAGGCAATAACTCACTCACTCTCACACTCACACACACACACAAATATAACACGCCACTGACTCGACTGGTGCAATGTATTACAGGTGAAACATTGTTGCACAATGTATAACACTGTCTCATAACCAGTGATCGAAATAACGGCCTGCCCGACTGCCCGTGGCCGGTAAACGTTGAGTCGGGCTGCCTGGAAATTCTCTCCACCAGCCCGATGGTCTGGCTGGAATTTTTTATGGTTGACATTTTTCAGTTCGCACTCAGGACGATCATTCCATTTTAACTGTCATGTCATATTTAGATTTAAGAAAGATGAATGGAAGCCACGAGTATACATGGACAACTCTTCTGCCAGTGAAGATAGTAATAGGACACTAAAACTGGCTGGTTTAGTAAGCTACGCTATGATTGGATATCAGTAGGCACATGGTTAAAAAAAAAGAACCAATCAAAGAGAGCGTTACTTACTCGTTTGTATTGGTTACAAAATGGCGGCGTGAGGGAGACCACGATGTCGCAGTCAAAAATATTCAGTTTTTGACTAATTGTAAAGATTTTCATACCAAAACACAAGAAGAAAAGGATATTGAGAAGAAAGAAAAGAGTAAGGAGTATGAAACAACCCAACGAACACGTAAATACCAGAGTAAGTGGAGCGGTGAATTTCCTGGTTGATAACCGACCAACAATCTCTGTTTTGTAAAGTATGCAGATCGTGTTACGGCCCGCTGTCGCAAACAAGGATTCCTTCCTCTTATGATAGATATAAACGTGGACCCGCAGTTTGCTTGGTTGTCTCAATTTGAAACACGATGCTTTAAAACCCATCATCTGTCATTTGGTCATACTAGGGCCGTGGAATTTCACAAAGCGAAGGAAATGAGACCTGGGAATCTCCAGCGGAGCAATCGATGGAAAACTGAATGCAAAAGCTTTCAAAACCCTGAATACACTGTTTAGCAACTGTCATGCCCTAGCTAAAAATTCAAGACCATTTATGGATTACGTTTGGCAACGAAAACTTGATGCCAGAAAAGGAATTGAAACTGGTAAAGCATATGCATCAGATAAATCTGCTGCTTCGTTTACACAAGCTATTGCAGAAACTGAGAATTTGAAAATTGAACAACAGATTAAAGATGCCAATTTCTTTTCAATATTGAGGACAGCTCCACAGATGTTAGCACACAAGAAATGAAATTGTCTACCCTCAGATGTGCTATCAGAGGAAAAATCTTTGTATTTTTCGTCAAGTTAATCCATGTCAAAAGAGCAGATTCTCTTGGCATTTATCAAGCATTGCTCAAAGCAATGAACACTTTCACAGATATTCCAGTCAAGAATAGGCTGATTGCCTTTGGTTGTGATGGTGCATCTGTTAACACTGGGAAAAGAATGGTGTCATCGTCCCATCTTCAGAAAAACATTTCTTCTGCCATTGTCATGATTCACTGCATGGCCCACAGATTGAATTGTGCTTCAAGGCAGCTTTCAAAACATCAAACAGTATGCAGACGTTATGAAAATGCTTCATCTTCTCTACTCTTTCTACAAAGGTTATCTCCAAAGGTAAGTTAACTTTTTAATGTCAATCCTTTCTTTTTTTGTTATTAAAGATAAGATACCGCTTAAGTAATTCAAATTTGTGAAAATGATTATTATAATTAAATGTTTCAATTGCTCTTGTAAATAACTAAAAAACATGGTGTTTAATTTTACCCAACAAACTGAAAGGTATTAAAATCTGAAGGACTTGGCAGTTAGCATACACATTTTTAAAACTGTAATGACAGTTAAGAATTAAGGCTTCAGTTCTTCACATTCATTGTTGGTTTAATTTACCCTTATTTATTCATAAATTTTTTAATTTGACTATGTAATTTTTTTTTTAGTTTTGTAAACTTCTGTTTCATGAAGTACATAATTTTATTGTCTTTTGCTTTTTATAATTGTTTTGTAATTTATAATTTGTACACCAATTTTATTTTGTTTAATTTCAGTAAATTGTACAGCCATGAAACTTCATAATTTCATTAGCTACTTACAAGTTCAAGGTTGAAGGTTTGTTTATTTTTAGTTTTGCTTCAGTATTGAGTTCAATCAATTTAGTACTGTTTAAAATATCATACAATCAGATTATAATGGCTTCTTTGAGCATAAGTTTGGCAAATGTTCTTTTTTCTAAATTTTCTGCTTGTCAGTGACAGTCAGTGTTTGACAGTTATAAAAGAATTAGATGTTGAGCTTACTGTTGTTTGAATTTGTCAAACTTATTATGTGTTTTATTAATGATAAAAATTTTGATTCAGATCAATGCTAAAGGGATCTTTTGAATCACTTGGTGTTGCACCAGTGATGCCTACGAGGATTGGGGGCACCAGATGGGTTGGGCATACTGTCACAGCTCTGCAGCAGTTGTGGAAAGGCTATAAAGCTTTTGTTCACCATACTGGCCAGGTAATATTTCTGTAACATAAGTAATGATATTTGTGAAACATCAAACTTCTCTGGCATCTTTTAAAGATATTAATAAAATATCAAACTTTTTCTTTGCCGGTTCGGCACTGACTAAACGAAAAAACTAAAATTCAAAACTAAACAAGCAGCTCACCTGTTTAAAACCATCTTGCACAATATTGAGTTACTGCTATAAATTATCAAGTTCCAATGTTACTAATTTCAGTGTTCATGTTACAGACAGCAGGGCCTGGCAGTGGTGCAGACAGTTCTGCTCAGATCAAAGCAAAGTCCCTCTTCAAGCTCCTAACACAGAGATCACTTATAGTGTATGCTCATTTCCTTCATGACGTCCTGAACACATTGAGCAAACTATCAGCAGAACTACAACGAAAGGATGTGACCATCCATGAGTGCCACGATTTAACAGTTAAAGGCTACTATTGCTACTCTGGAACAGATGAAAGAAAAAGTAAGTCATTTTGTTGAGAAAGTTTTTGTTTTATTTTTTAATATTGCAAATTCATCTATGTTTTGATTTTGCATATTACATTATTAACAGCTTTGCACTGTGTTTAATTTTAGACCTGGATTTCATCTACGCGGCAGTAGAGAATAAGAACACTTTCCATGGCCAGTCACTGTCTGGAGAGGCTGTTTCATCGCCCACTCTGAAAAAGGTGCTCAATGAAGTCATCATATCCATGTCAAGTCAAGTCTCCGACATAACTGATTCTCTACTTTCTGCATCCTCCCTTGCAGATTTGAAGTCATGGCCAGATACATTTGATTCAGGTGTGTTGTATATTATGCAAAACTCCTAATTTATTGAGTATTTATGTCATGGATGAACTTTTGAGAGGCATTCTAGTATGTGAGGCATTTTTACGTCATTAATATGTTAACAGATGATGATTTCATAATACAATTCATGAAACATGTCAGTTGCAATCATGAAACAACAAATGCTCCATATGGCATTATTTTGCAAATGTGATCTTTTTTCAAAGAGTTTGGAGCAGACAAACTTACAGCCATCACAGACCACTACAGAGAGTTCCTCACCGACCGTACTGACATTGAGCTTGATCTGATTGACCAGGAGTGGATGAGTCTAAAAACTAAGATCTACAATAGGTAAAGAAAAACAACCTGCAGGCCATGATTTATCTTCTTCTTATTGTATAGACATCAGCAATTACAGTGCACTTGTGTTTTATAGTCTCTATAGACAAATACAAGATGCATGCTGTGGAAAAGTATCATTCAGGGTTATCACTCACTCTATGAATGCAAAGGCTTATATACACTTGGTGATGTACATTGCATTTCATATCTACAGTTTAGGTATGTTCAAAAGGGAACTGTCAAGTATGGATGCTTGTAACTAACATGGGAAATAAACATCAGCTATGTTGAATTACTAAAGAAAGTAAAGAAGAAATGTTTATGTTAGTAAGGTTTTGAATATAGTCTGCCTAAAGTAAAATGATAACCTTCATTCAGTTATAAAATGTGATATCGTTATTTTCAGTCACAAGCCTTCAGGAACTGTCCTGGAATGTTGTGTGGAAACCTATGGAGAGACACACAGAATTGTCTGCTACATGATTGACCTTCTGTTGACTTTACCTGGCTCCACAGCAGAATGTGAGCGTGGATTTTCTCAGCTAAAATTATCAAAACGGAAATCAGAAACAAACTGAGCAGCTCCACAGTGTCAAATCTCTTGACAGTCCAACTAAATTCTGAAGAGGTGGAAGATTACGATGCAACCTCAGGCCATCCATCATTGGTTATGCGAGTAAAACCTCGCAGAACACTTAACACCTAGAAAGAAAAAAAACTCACCACTCACAGCTAAAGATGACAATGATACTGTTTATGTTGAGAATGAAACAGAACTGCAAAGATCCAGCTCTCAAGGCAACAGTAGAGGACTCTGACAGTTCTGATGATAGTTGTTATGATTCTGAAGAATCTGTTGTCTCGGTGACTACTCTGACTGTGACATTGATATCTAGCTCAAAGTTGTATAAGCACACAGTGCACAGGTTGTAAATATTTAATGGTTCATTAAGTTATTGTTCATAATAAGTTGCTTTCCAGGCTCGATTATTTACAGACCGCCTCCATATAGTTGGAATATTGCTGAGTGTGGAATAAAAATGAACTCACTCACTCATAATATGTTGCCTAATCAATACAAATTTGATTTATGAATGATATGTGTTTGTTTTTGTCAGTTATTGCAAAAATGTAAATTAAAAAAGTGGGCAGGCAACTTTCAAGTTGGGCAGGCAACATTTATGGGCCACCAGCCCGGCTGTCAGGTTGAGTTGAAAAATTATTTCAATCACTGCTCATAACACCCACCAATCGCGTTAAAAACGTCAATAAAGCCAATCAAGGGTGATAACTCTTATGAGTGTTTGATTCGAGACAACGGTAGACACGGTTGCTTGGTTGCCTTGTTTTATTGACCATGCTCATCACCTGATTCTCAGTTTACAAACATACCTGTATCTATGAAGCACACCTGTATCTCCCTATGTTGAGCTGAAGTACTCGACAGATGTGCCTGATGCCGTCACTGTCAGTACTGATAACTTTACAAAGGGAGATCACTCTAGATATAGGACCCCTTGAAACTCTCGAGTGAATCTTGTGTGTATTACACCAGTATATACAAGTGCGCTGCAAATATCTGTCACTTCAAACATGTCTTATCTCGAAGGTTTATCTGTAAAAGCAGGATTAGAATGTTTCTTGGTGAGATAACAAATGTCCCAGCGCGTCTATCTCTCAGCGTGCGCATAGCATCAGAGAAAAATCAAAGACCGTGTTCGTGTTGCACCGCGGATCATTCTTCCCTAAGTGCAAGCTAGGAATCATTGGCAATGACCTGTTATACAGCAACGGCTGTTTGCCTGTTAGTGTCAGCGCTAATGTAATCCGTTACCGTATATATCTGAGTGTAAGTCCACATTTTCATAGTCACATTTTCAGTGTAAAGAGGGAATATCTGGACCCAGACCTAAACTGAGAAACGAAAGAAACTATACCTCTCAGTTGATTTCATAATATATTTCATTTTCAGTTGAAAATATTTTAAGGTATACCATAATTAACCCAACTGGCGTTTGTTCTTTGCTCAAAGTACATGTACTTCCAGATGATTTTAATTTCAAAACATAAATTTATTGTAAATTTTAAATTAAAAAAGAAAAAGAAAGAAACAATCGCATAATCTTATCTTATCAGGCAGGGAAAAAACAAGTACCTTTCAACACAGGTTCAGCTGACAGTTAGGTACCACAACGACACTCATGTAAAGACTGTTGTAGAAAAATCATTTACCCCCTTGATTGACAAATGCAGGGTTTGTTTGAAGGTACATGCTTTACAAAATATGTCACGATTCCTGGTGATACATTAAAAACCCAAATAAGACCGCTACCTATTAATAGATATTAGATACTTGTATTACGACTTTAGGGCCACTTGCTTAGTTAAAGTTGTGTCATGTTTCTGATAAAACTACCAAAACATGCAAGTACATTCACACAAAAAGAGGTAAAAACACGGACAAGGTAAGGTAAGAATGACATCTCAGGTGACAGATTCGCTCACAGTAAGATTGCCACTGAGAGTGTTATTAATCTGCCCATTTCACACATCTCATGTAATAGCATCATGTGGGTCTGTAATACACGTAGCAAAGAACAAATCTGACCATTTCCTAACGTTATTTCAAGTTTGCCGTGAATTCAAAATTGACTTTGTAAATTTTCATGCTAAGGTTAGAGCCACATGTAGAGCCAGGTTGTAATGGTCTGAATGTTGACAAGAGAGACAGAAAAAAGTACATAAAGAATTATCTGGATTTCATCTTAATGTTCATTAGTTCTACCTGATGATGGGACCGGAACAGGAAGAATAAAAAGAAGATGAAATCCAGAAAATTCTTTATGTTCATCAAATAGCATCTCCTAAAATGACAATCAAGCATCTAGGTTAAAAAGTTGTCTGTTAAATTTCATACTTGATTTCAAGTTTGCAGTAAACATTTGATTTAATATTTCTAATGAGCCTAAAAGGGCTCTAGTAATTCCACTGTACGACTGCACTGGCCCCAACAATGTACAACGGAAGCCTCGCTAGGTCCACACTAAGAGACGCCCCCACTGACTGTGTGGGTTGATGGCCGGGAAGGCTAAAATCGTGACTCTTCTCGGTTCAATGAGCGTAGCCGTGCCGGGAAGGCTGAAATGTATATTTCGGATTTCCCGTTAGAGCTCATTTCCAATGGCGCTACGGTGCCGGGAAGCATAATCGAATCGAATACTATAACAATGTTTTGAAAAGAAATCTGTCTACTCCCGACACGGATTATGCTCCCCGACACCGTATCTTAAGCTTTGGCGGTCTCCCCTACTTCCTTCGAAATTAGCTCTGCCGGGAAATCCGAAATATACATTTTAGCCTTCCCGGGACATCTGAAAAATATAGTTTAGCCTTCCCGGCTCGACACCACTGTGTGTACACTCGTTGTACATGAGATAGGCGGGTCGGTCTGAACTCTCACACGAGATCGTGACGTCGCAAAGAATTCCGCACAGATTTTTTCATTTAGAATACTTCAGTTATTGTAACATTACAAGTGTATTTAAGAGGGTAATTGAGACAAGTCATGAAGCTGTTCCATGTCTCTGTTAAAATCAATACGAGAGTCACCTTCTTAACTACACATTCCTTGCAGGATTATATGGGCATTTGAGACGTTCAGCGTAGTAGGATCACGGGTCGCTCGGCGCACAAGGAATGCAATTTGTATTGTGTACCCTGTATAATACGGACGCCGTTATACCGGACGCTCTTAATTCTGGAGCGATGCAGATGATGTGGTTTGGTTTCCTCGCGAAACTTTGCCTTGTCCTGTGTAGAAACTTCATTATATATATGGTTTAAAGAAATTAACCGGATTAAAGAGGTTTTGTTGTTCATATGTCTTTGAGCGGTATGGTCTGCAACTTACTGCCACTGTTTGCACTTGTTTCTGGGTCTCCGTCTGCGAGGACTCACTCACTCACTCCATCATACCACGGAATTAGTCTCAGCATCTAAATTTACAAACTCTTGAAACCGTTCAGGTCCGGGTTATAATTCGGTCTTCAGCAACCCATGTTTGTCGTATAGCTGGAATATTGCTGAGTGCCGCGTTAGACACGAACCAACCAACCAACTAAAATTATAAAACCATATCAAGTGAATTAGTCTAGGAGTGACGAGTGAAAGCTTCAACCACAACTCCAACGCCCAAACTAAGATGGTGCAGAGATCAAATAAAATATAAAATAAATACATAAACACGAAAAAAAGGGGAGGAAAAATGAACCAGCTGACAACATGCCCTCTGTGTGCGTGTGTGCATCTGAGAGAGAGAGAGAAAGAGAGAGAGAATGAGAGGGAGACAGGAAGAGGGAGAGGGGGGGAGGGAGAGAGAGAGAGGGAGAGAGAGCGTTAAGGCTCTGATCATGTTTAGGATTGTGTTTTATTGGGATCTAAAACTGGGAGGGAACCGAATCACACCTTTGAGTTCATTCTTGTTAATAAAGAGAGAGAGAGAGAGGTACAAATGAGAAAATAACTTGAACTTACATATTTCAAGTTCTTCTCATCAGAAGAGAGGTAGTATACGGATTTAAACAGGGGAAGAGACGGAGGCTAAGGGGTGTTAAGGGTTACAACAAGACGGTCCTACAATTTTAAACTTAATAGGAACATCTTAAATAAAAACTTCTTCAAAAGTGTTAAATGGTCGAAGTATGAATATACGAACTCCCAAGAGTCGTGTGATTTAATTATCTAATAATCAACAAACAAGTTCCGCCCTAATCCTATATCAGTATCGAGATTCAACTCGAAGTAAGAGATATATCCCCCGAGGCATCAGCTTCTCAGTAGTACATACCAACAAACCGTGTATTATCTGCAGTGTATACACCACAGTATGCCAGTTTGTCTAATAATGTCTTTAGTAGTGAAAATATTACGGAGTGTTCAAGCGGACATATACACTTATAGTGGAGTGTTATTCAATATTAACTTCAGTGAATCTGTCGCGACCGGGAGATCATACACATATTTCTTATTCACACTGAAAACATCACCTAGTTAAGCTACATTCAACGTTCGAGAACTGGGGACGGGTGGATTATTGTACCTTAAAATGTTTAACAATCATGGGCGGTTATAGTACGTGGCAGATGTTACACATTGTCTGCAAAAATTCAAAAGCGCATTCCCTTAAATAAAAGTACAAGTATCTATGTATTGGCATTCTTTGAGTGCGCCATGATTAAATTTGTCTTCCCCTTTCCCTTTGATGTGATAGTTAAATCTCCAAGGCTTGGGTTCACAGTGTGCCAACAGTTTCAATAATATTGCGAACAAATATCTATGCAGGACCTGTGCTCCTTGATGCTGTGTAATAGAGGATCGTTATGCAACTATTCCATAAGTGGTGTTTGGTTTGAGATAGCTCGGGTTTATATAAATATACTTGAAAGTTTACGATAAATGACATGAGACGGTTTCAGCGTGTATCATCTCGACACGGAGAATAGAACAGGTGCTCATTAAGGGAGATAACTCTCAATGGTAGGTGTACTGTATGAAGACCACAACAAATTAATGTGTTTTTCTGATCGTCAGCATCTTCAGATCTTGTTTTATTTTATATAATCTTTTATCATTGCTATCAGATTACTTTATTAGAAACTAACGTGGTTGAGGTGGAATGGGATTTACCGGTATCTTTGGGGTTACTGTATACATGTATTTACATTGAACGCGCAAGCACATATTATGCCTGCACGGATTGTACCAGTTTTATCGAGCTTGCGCCATACCACAGCTTTATCATATATACCCCACTAGTAGCGTCTCGTGTGGTGGGATGGGACAACTGGGGTGGGATGGGGGCACCCCCTTTTATCAAAATTGTATTTTTAATCTTACAATTCAAAACGTGTGTCCCGTAATCCTCATTTTTGGAACACATTCCTTACGGCCAATATTTTTGGGGAAGTAATCTTATATCATAAAATATTGTGATGTGTCTTGGCCGTAACAACGGAAAGACATGTCAATGCACGATTGTTCATGATATACCCACATAAGTGCATACATATCTTGCCTTTAAAACACAATCAGCAATCCTAGAGTGTCCCCCTTTGTCCATAGCCGTTATAATAAATACTGCCATGAAACCCCATAAGTTGAACCCTTTTAGACTTAAAATCGGGCTTTAAAACACTTTCTTTTCGGAATGTCTGCCATTTTGTGGTTTCACTGTTTGGGAATTGATTTTATTCCAAATCGTTGTTGTTGTTGTTGTCGATGATGATGATGGTCGCTGGTATTAATTTGAGCGTTTGAAGAGCTGCATTATTGGCCTCTCCATGGAATCTGTGTGCACGCAGTCTTTGTTCCATCGGGATTTTGCAACAGATGCTGCATGTGAGGCACAGATCCGTCCTACCGGGTACCCATTCACTACTGGTGAATTAACGTCAACGAAGAGACTTTACCCGTACCATATAATAAAGGGACATGATAGAAAAAAATTCATTTACGATACTCACATAATAATTTTGCAATGTTATTTTATGTTAAACATTTAAAAAACAGACGACAACTCTATTGTCTGTGAAAAAAGATGAGCTGTCACTGTGTATGATATCTTTGCAATCTGTCACGTGATGCCCGTGTCTACGTAACTTAGATACCGATACCCGTATCAAAGTAAATTATGCTTTTAAGATTAATACAAATCAAAATACTGAATTTTCAACCATAATGCAAGTATTCAGACCTTTAAAACCCTGGCCCTAACCGTATTGAAATAAGCTTATAGCTATCGATACCCACGAGCATTTGTATAAGAGACAGGCACTGACGGTATATGTTGACCGTGTTGCACATCCAGGATCGAAAATACTAAGTAGGGGCCTTGTTATGAAGTCATGTCGCCCCTACCATGTTTTCTACATGTCAGACATAGGTGTTCTGGCTCCGGTCTTCGTGTGTGCATTACATGGGTGGTTTGTACATAACATTACATACAATTTATTGTTATACCATGTGTTATCTAATAACATGCCCTTTAAGCGTCTTAGCGAGTTTCAGGATCTCAAAATGTAAAGACTTTGTTTATGGAATTTCAAGTGTGGGGGTATAGCATTGCAGGGCGCCGTGACGAAAATATTAAGTAGCACTCAACTCGGGGTCAGGGGGAGACACATGAAAGACGCTGACATACCTGCGATACCAGGGAGGGTATTTGGGTATTAGGCATACCGGGTATTACGGGTGTGTGATAGGGATGAAGATACGTGTTGAACAAGTGTCAGCAGAACACACAGGACGTTGTACAGATGTAGTAAGGGACACACCTCGAGCGTTGTACAGATGTAGTAAGCAGAACACACAGAGCGTTGTACAGATGTAGTAAGCAGAACACAGAGGACGTTGTACAGATGTAGTAAGCAGAACACAGAGGACGTTGTACAGATGTAGTAAGCAGAACACACAGGACGTTGTACAGATGTAGTAAGCAGAACACAGAGGACGTTGTACAGATGTAGTAAGCAGAACACAGAGGACGTTATACAGATACAGATGTAGTAAGCAGAACACACAGGACGTTGTACAGATGTAGTAAGCAGAACACAGAGGACGCTGTACAGATGTAGATGAAGCAGAACACAGAGGACGTGTATACAGATGTAGTAAGCAGAACACAGAACTTGTATTGTACAGATGTAGTAAGCAGAACACACAGGACGTTGACAGATGTAGTAAACCAGAACACACAGGATGTTGTACACAGAGGACGTTGTACAGATGTAGTAAGCAGAACACACAGGACGTTGTACAGATGTAGTAAGCAGAACACACAGGACGTTGTACAGATGTAGTAAGCAGAACACACAGGACGTTGTACAGATGTAGTAAGCAGAACACACAGGACGTTGTACAGATGTAGTAAGCAGAACACACAGGACGTTGTACAGATGTAGTAAGCAGAACACACAGGACGTTGTACAGATGTAGTAAGCAGAACACACAGGACGTTGTACAGATGTAGTAAGCAGAACACACAGGACGACGTTGTACAGATGTAGTAAGCAGAACACACAAGACGTTATACAGATGTAGTAAGCAGAACACAGAGGACGTTGTACAGATGTAGTAAGCAGAACACACAGGACGTTGTACAGATGTAGTAAGCAGAACACACAGGACGTTATACAGATGTAGTAAGCAGAACACAGAGGACGTTGTACAGATGTAGTAAGCAGAACACACAGGACGTTGTACACACAGATTATAGTGGCAGCAGAACACACACAGACGTTGTACAGATGTAGTAAGCAGAACACAGGACGTTATACCAGATGTAGTAAGCAGAACACACAGGACGTTGTACAGATGTAGTAAAGCAGAACACACACACAGGACGTTGTACAGATGTAGTAAGCAGAACACACAGGACGTTGTACAGATGTAGTAAGCAGAACACAGAGGACGTTGTACAGATGTAGTAAGCAGAACACACAGGACGTTATACAGATGTAGTAAGCAGAACACAGAGGACGTTGTACAGATGTAGTAAGCAGAACACAGAGGACGTTGTACAGATGTAGTAAGCAGAACACACAGGACGTTGTACAGATGTAGTAAGCAGAACACACAGGACGTTGTACAGATGTAGTAAGCAGAACACACAGGACGTTGTACAGATGTAGTAAGCAGAACACACAAGACGTTGTACAGATGTAGTAAGCAGAACACACAAGACGTTGTACAGATGTAGTAAGCAGAACACACAAGACGTTATACAGATGTACCCAGCTAACACGAAAATGTTTTAAAAATATCCCCAAAACATTTCGTGAAATGTTCCACAAAACATTTTTAAAATGTTTTATTCACGTGATTTTGTATGGTTCCAGAAATGTTTTAGAAACATTTTCAAAAACGTTTAACTATAAGGTTTTCAAAATGTTTTCCTGAAATGAAATGTTTTTCGAGATGTTTTGGAAATGTTTTTAAAAATGTTTTATTCACGTGATTTTGTATGGTTCCAGAAATGTTTTAGAAACATTTTCAAAACGTTTAACTATAAAGGTTTTTAAAATGTTTTCCTGGAAATGTTTTTTTCGAGATGTTTGGAAATGTTTTTAAAAATGTTTTATTCACGTGATTTTGTATGGTTCCAGAAATGTTTTAGAAACATTTTCAAAAACGTTTAACTATAAGGTTTTTAAAATGTTTTCCTGAAATGTTTTTCGAGAGATGTTTTGGAAATGTTTTAAAAAAATGTTTTATTCGTGTGATTTTGTATGGTTCCAGAAATGTTTTAGAAACATTTTCAAAAACGTTTAACTATAAAGGTTTTAAAATGTTTTTCCTGAAATATTTTTTCGAGATGTTTTGGAAATGTTTTAAAAAATGTTTTATTCACGTGATTTTGTATGGTTCCAGAAATGTTTTAGAAACATTTTTCAAAACGTTTAACTATAAGGTTTTTAAAATGTTTTCCTGAAATGTTTTTCGAGATGTTTTGGAAATGTTTTAAAAATGTTTTATTCACGTGATTTTGTATGGTTCCAGAAATGTTTTAGAAACATTTTTTCAAAACGTTTAACTATAAGGTTTTTAAAATGTTTTCCTGAAATGTTTTTTCGAGATGTTTTTGGAAATGTTTTAAAAAAATGTTTTATTCACGTGATTTTGTATGGTTCCAGAAACGTTTCAGCAATGTTTTCTCCAACATTCAGTGAATAGAACGCCGTAAATAACTGGTTTGGGTGTGAATCTGTGATTCCATGTTGCAATTTGTTTTGGGGGCTGGTAGCTTCCCAGCTAACACGAAAATGTTTTAAAAATATCCCCAAAACATTTCGTTGAAATGTTTCCAGAAACATTTTTAAAATGTTTTATTCACGTGAAACGTTTCAGCAATGTTTTCTCCAACATTCAGTGAATATATTCCATAAAGGTTTTCTGAAAACGTTTTATAGATGTGATTTTGTATGGTTCTGGAAACGTTTTAAAAACATTTCCTTTGAACATATAGTTTTAACTTTTCAAGCATATAGAATAGCCCTGATAACAATTAGGTGGTGTTTTGTTTAAAACGTAAACCACTGGAACAAAACGTAGAACACTAACAGTTAACAATTTACATAATATGTCTGTGGCAAATAGTTAGACATATACATAGGGGCGTGTCTCCCTTAGAAACAGCGTTAGAAAGACATATAGATGTCTGGACTCAACCTATTTACTATATAATAGGGTTGGGTCTATACCTCTATATGTCTCTTTCTAACTGTTTCTAAGCGACTGTCCCTATGGACATATATAGTTAATCTTTACAAGGACACCAAAACAGATAAAAGAATGGCAGACTTGTAATCAACAATTTTATTAATAATTCTGGAAACGTGTACACTTTTTTCAGTTTGTTTTCATTATCTTCTTCTTTGCTTTTTGCAGTCATCCATATTTCTGAAATATAGAAAACTTTCAATAATCTTAAGCAGGTACTTGAAATGTGACATTTACCCCAAACCAAGTGACACTCTAACCAGGAGACTAAGTCTTCTACCACGTTTGTACAGACACGTGTTTGGTGGACATGAACACACTATTGGAATGTAATGATTGATATGATAATATCCAGAATCATGCTGAATACCAAAGATGTAGCAAGCACAGAATCTCACTTACTGGTCAGAGGCTGGGTACAAGTACAAATCAAATCTTGCAATAAAAAGCCCAAAAATATATCGACAACATGTTTATAGACAATGGTATTTATAAGCTGCACTTACATAATTCACAGCTCCTGGATTATTTGATGTGTTCCTCCATAAATCCATCATGTGTAACAGTGTGTTTGTATATCCTGGAATGCTTGTCTCATATTCGCCCTTGCTGCAATGAAAATAACAATGTTCCACATTATCACAAGTTATAAATTGAACCGTTTCCATAAAGCATATAAAGTAGATCTAGTTAGTCTAAAGCTGAAACATACTGCCATGTAATTGCCTCAAGTTTTTTGGTGGGTGCCCATTTACAACAAACTTGGATTACTGGCGAGCGTTTCTAGCCCAGAATCCAAACTGGAATTGATTTATTACACATCTATTGTAACTAGCTACATGATTCAAAGCCTTACACATCGGAACAGTTGCAGCTGCAGTATGATTTCGTTGGCGAGCATTGTAACCAGATTCTTCAGTTTTCGATCACGATGTTTTCGGGTTTCACTGAAACATCATTTCACCAAGAATTGTAACAACTTTATTTGGTCCAACATTTACTAAACTGAGACCACGCCATTTTCACTATGGAATACTGTACCATGAAAATCATGAAAAACCCTAATCAACACGGTTTCAAACGATGTCACTTATATATTGGTGTCAAAACCTCGATATTGTTTATATATCCTTCCTGCAAAAGCAATTAGATCAATATTTTTATGTAAATCATCACCAAACATTGATCACCTCACTGACAATATATTGTGATAGTCTGTGGCCATACACTGTGGTATAGCAAGTGGCCATACAGTGACAACTCATAGCCGAGGACTAGTCATCGCCAACGCCCCGTTATAGTGTAGGCCCCACAAGTTTATTTCTGGCTCTTGTCTGGGAGGGAATACATCTATCAAAACCGATCAATTAATTTGTCTGGGGAAAATTTAAGAATACACAGTGGTAAAAACAGAGTACCTTTAATAAGAGACCATATAATAAATATTATTTATTATATCGGTCTCTGCTTTAGTATAGCACTTGAAAACATGCGGTAATAGTGGACAAACAACAATCCGACAACCCAGCAGGATGGTCATTTAACAGTTAGTTTAGTCAGTGTTAATTAACAAGAATGCGTCTGTCATTTCTGTTAAAAAATAGTTTTTATAACATGCACACACTATGACAGCCAGTAACTATCCCACAGTCAAGTGGATCAGAAACTAATTTCGAAATTATTCTCGATTCCCCATTTTCGTGGTATAAAATCGACGCAACTTTCCAACGACTTAAACGAGCAAAATTCAGTCATAGTTTAAAATTGAAAATTAGCCGCAATGTTAAATTAATAAAATGTCCTTCAGAAATAACATGGCAAAAATTAAATAACGATAAGGGCCACTGAAGCTTGTGCATACGTTTACGATCGAAAACCGAACGCAATAGGGGCATTAACCGCCTTAATTTAACTCTGCTTGAACACATATATTGCTCGCTCTTGATAGCCTAATTATCCTTTTATGTAACATAAAATTAATTAGGTACAAACTCTCTTAGACATTCTTCACAACGATATAATATATATCCAAAGCGAGGCTGAATTCGATGTTCTGGTGATTTCGACGATTACATTGCTCGCGCTATATTGGGGATTATGTTCGCGATCGGAGTGCACAAACAGTTTCACTGGTAGGGCGGATGCAAAATATCAATATTATTTACCCGAGATCGTTAATACCACTTCAGATGCAAATCAATTGCCTATATAACCAAATATAGCAAAAAATCTGTAAGATCTCTCGTCTCTGCTGGTGACAAGCAATATACCAGATATAAACAGGAAGCCACGTGATCACAACACTCACTCGCATGGCTGGAGCGAAATGTATACAAATCCCAGATGTGGAGATGTTTCGCCGATAAAAGATATCATCAACGCTATTTCTGTAGGAAACACTTGATATTTTTGGTGAAATAGATAAATATATCCCTTTTCACTCAAGGTTAGTAAAATAAAATTACGTTTTGTCTTACATCGTCGAAAAAAAGCCTGTCACCGGGGATTCTCTGTTTGAACACTGAATCACGTTTCTCAAAACCCCGCTACCTTTGAGTAACACAGTATTTTAATCGAGTGAATATCAAATGTACATCAACATGAAAATAATGACTGTAAAATTAACTCACCGCAACCGAGGTCACATCGATGATCCAGTTCCAGTTGTTGCACCATGAGTCGAATGACAAGGTGGTGGTAGGGTCCTGAATAAACTTCAACTAAGATGGCGGGTGCAAAATTATGACGTGATGGGTGACGTCATTCCGACGTCATTTCCCGCGGTAACAATGAGGCATTGTGTCGCAACATTTTAAAATGTTATCAAAACGTGTAAGGTGTGATATCATTTCAAAACCCTTTAAGAACAAGTCATAATAAAAACACATTTTAAATGTGATGACAGATCCGGCTAAAACATTTCAGGAACGTTTTAAGGCACTTTAATGACAAGTCATACATTAGAACATGGCTGAGTGAGATAATTGTTTGTGATTGCAGTGTATGTACTGTTTATGTCACACCAACGATACAACAGAAACCGTGTTTTAAAACTTGATCACAATTAAACATGTTCTTGCACATCATTTCTGCAATGTTTTAAAACATTTCAATAATATGTTATGAAATAGTTTCACCCATGTTACAGCATGACGTTTCTGAACAACATTTTGAAAACATTTCAAAACATTTTCAGTATTTTTTGAGATATTCACACATTATTTGTATGACTATGTTCTTGCATAATCTCTGCAGCGTTTTTAAAACATCCTCACTAATATGTTGTGAAATGGTTTCTAACCCGTTATAGCATGACGTTTTGAAACAACATTTTGAAAACATTTCAAAAAAATTTCAGTATTTTTGAGATTAAGACATTATTCGTATGATATGGCATAAATGTGTGCACAATGTTTTAAAACGTGATGATAATATTTCATTAAATATGTTCTTGCATAACATTCCTGCAGCGTTTTTAAAACATCTCACTAATATGTTGTGAAATGGTTTCAAACACGTTATAGCATGACGTTTTTTAACAACGTTTTGAAAACATTTCAAAACATTTTCAGTATTTTGAGAGATTTAGACATTATTCGTATGATATGGCATAAATGTGTGCACAATGTTTTTTTAAACGTGATGACAATATTTCATCAAACATGTTCGTGCACAACATTTCTGCAACGTTTTACAAATATTTCAATGACATGTTATGAAATAGTTTCACTCATGTTATAGTCTGACGTTTTTGAATAACATTTTAAAACATTTCAATAACATTATGAAACATTTTTATAATCGTTCCAAAAACATTTTTGACGAAAATGTTTTTGAAAACTATTTTGAAACCTTATGAAAATGTTTCGAAAATGTTTTGTGTTAACTGGGTAGTAAGCAGAACACATAGGACGTTGTACAGATGTAGTAAGCAGAACACACAGGACGTTGTACAGATGTAGTAAGCAGAACACAGAGGACGTTGTACAGATGTAGTAAGCAGAACACACAGGACGTTGTACAGATGTAGTAAGCAGAACACACAGGACGTTGTACAGATGTAGTAAGCAGAACACACAAGACGTTGTACAGATGTAGTAAGCACACAGAGAAGATATAGAAGCAGAACACAAAGGACGTTGTACAGATGTAGTAAGCAGAACACACAGGACGTTGTACAGATGTAGTAAGCAGAACACACAGGACGTTGTACAGATGTAGTAAGCAGAACACACAGGACGTTGTACAGATGTAGTAAGCAGAACACAGAGGACGTTGTACAGATGTAGTAAGCAGACAACATACCGCGTCGTTGAGATGAAAGAAGTCGTCAACCTATAACGTTGTACAAATATTCCCCAAGATAAACGAAATCAGTTTTACGAATGTATTAACTAAGGGCAAACTGTAGGGTTTAAAAAAAAGAAGTTTAAGAATCTATCGAAATCATCCATATCATTTGTTGAAGTGTGTATTGTTTCTCGCCAAAACAACATGGCCGACCACATCCCACGCCATGTTAACGTGTTTTTGTACTGCATTCTCGGGAAATACTTTCAAGATTACGAGTAATTATCAACAGGACTGTAATCACTCTGGTGATAATCATAGTTAAAGAGAAGTTGTCCCAGTGATGACGTTTTTCACAAACGCGTATTTGAAGTGAAGTGCTTCGGGAGGTTTCATCAATCTCAAATTATTTCACTCAAAACTCTTTGTTTGTCTCTAGTTAATCCGTCTTCTGAAACTCAACGTAACTGTCATTCAACAGGACTTTTCGTTCCAAGGAAGGTTTCCATCACTAGGCTGAGGCTGATGCGTTCAAAGGAACGACCATGCACTCAAGTAGGGTTAATTCGCTTCACAGACCCAGTGAAATGACGCGATTGTGTCACTGTATGGAGGGCGCATTGTGGCCAGACGTCTGAGGCACCGTCATTCGCCTGCAGAGTTGCGTCCCTTGGGCCGATGATCATGGGTTCGAATCTGTCTGAGACCTGCGTATATTCCCGTTTTCCTATAATTGGGGTTCTTTCCAAAATGGCGTTAAACTACGGAAGCGTAGTAGGGCCACGATGAAAAGAAAATTGGTCTCACTATCTCCAAGGTAGGACTATATATCTCCTACGTAGGACATACTATCTCCTACGTAGTACTTACTATCTCCTACGTAGTACTTGATATCTCCTACGTAGGACATACTATCTCCTGCGTAGTACTTGATATCTCCTACGTAGGACATACTATATCCTACGTAGTACTTGATATCTCCTACGTAGGACATACTATCTCCTACGTAGTACTTGATATCTCCTACGTAGGACATACTATATCCTACGTAGTACTTGATATCTCCCTACGTAGGACATACTATATCCTACGTAGTACTTGATATCTCCTACGTAGGACATACTATGTCCCTACGTAGTACCTGATATCTCCTACGTAGGACATACTATCTCCTACATAGTACTTTGATATCTCCTACGTAGGACATACTATATCCTACATAGTACTTGATATCTCCTACGTAGGACATACTATATCCTACATAGTACTTGATATCTCCTACGTAGGACATACTATCTCCTACATAGTACTTGATATCTCCTACGTAGGACATACTATATCCTACGTAGTACTTGATATCTCCTACGTAGGACATACTATCTCCTACGTAGTACTTGATATCTCCCTACGTAGGACATACTATCTCCTACGTAGTACTTTTGATATCTCCTACGTAGGGACATACTATCTCCCTACATAGTACTTGATATCTCCTACGTAGGACATACTATCTCCTACATAGTACTTGATATCTCCTACGTAGGACATACTATATCCTACATAGTACTTGATATCTCCTACGTGGGACATACTATCTCCTACGTAGGACTATATATCTCCTACGTAGGACATACTATCTCCTACGTAGTACTTGATATCTCCTACGTAGGACATAGTATGTCCTACATAGTACTTAAAATGTCCTACGTAGGAGATAAATAGCTGGTGCAGCATAGTTCAATTGCCCATTCTTTCATGGTGTACTTTGTGTTTGAACGAACTAAATAATCCAATATTTTTTTCAGCTCACTCACTAATATACAAGAAATTTTTCAGTTACATACATTATTTTATTGCAGTTAATATATATACGACTTCCAATCACCTTATATCCTCTCTGCGTTATGTCAGAAATACCTTGGCCATTTGGTTTAAGTGTTCGCTCGTGAAGACGAAGACCTGTGTTCAGTTTCCCACATGGACATCATGTATAAGCCCATTCTTGATGGCGGTCATATCAAGCTGGTGGAATACTGCCAATGTGGGGTCAAACCAAACTCCCTCACTAACTCCTCGCCGGAGTGTATATGTTATTCACGAGAAGGGGCGGTGGGGTAGCCTAGTGGGTAAAGGGTTCGCTCGTCACCCTGGTTGATCAGTGTTTGTGTTCAGTATTGAATTGAACTCAGATCTTATGTTTGGATTTGCCAGATAGTAAACTGCGTCAGGTCTGATCAGATATCCCAAATCTTGATATAAACCAAGACCTTGTGAGGAATGTATCCAGGTTTTAAGTTATCAGTTTTGTGCACCTGAGAATGGTTTGTCATGTTCAGCCTTGCTCTCGTCTATAGAGATCGTGAGTGAGTGAGTGAGTGAGTTTAGTTTTACGCCGCTTTTAGCAATACCACGGCGGAGGACACCAGAAATGGGCTTCATACATTGTACCCATGTGGGGAATCGAACCCGGGTCTTCGGCGTGACGAACGAAAGCTTTAACCACTAGGCTAACTGGCCGGCCCCCATGCTCTAAGACCATTGTGCCATATAGACGATACAAACTGTATATTTTTGAACATTTGTGCGACGCTTTCGACCACTGACAAACTGTAAGAGTAAAGTTGAGGCATCCAGCGACATGATTAGAGAACCACCCACCTCATTCCCTGATGTCACGTGGTAATGGCCCCTTAGAGGGGGGTAAATCTGGGCGTGGCCGATAGAGAACAAAGGATTACATATAAGTACTGAGTTCAACGTCGTCAACAACAGATCGACCACGCCCAAATATAACAACCTTTCCTCCAATGTTTGATCAAACAGATTATTCGCCGTTTCCTCCTCTTTTTAAATTACATTAAATATTTGTTTGAATGTACTTGCAATTGGCTTTAATGCTCTTTCACCAGGTTACTTTGAACCTGAATAATTATAATCTTTGTTTATTGTTATGGGGATACGGGGACAGGGGTGAGCTGGAGGAGGGTTTGGTGTGTGTGTTGTGTGTGCGTGCGCGCGCGTGCGTGCGTGCGTGCGTGCATGCGTATGTGTGCTGACGGGGGTGGTGGGCGTGAGGCCTTCGTAGTGTGACTGAGTGTGACAGGCTAAAGATGAATCAACATTAACAAACATCGTCTGGCCTCTCTGAAGAAAGTTGAGATAAACTTGAAAGTTACAATGCTCCATACATCTCCTGTCTTATGCCAATACTATTCTTTAGTAGAACTTTTTCTGATTTGTCGAATGGACGCTCAAAGAACAAAACCATAAGGAGATGCATACACAAACTATTATTAAACTATTTTTATAATCATTATTATTGTTATTGATTCTGCTATAACATGACCATACGGTGGTTAACTATAACAGTATATATTAGGGGTGTCACGATACGATACGTATCACGATTTTAA